GTGTTTTGGACTAGCGGAAGGCGGACCATCACTCTATCGAGTATCTCATTGAACAATGGCTCGTGGGAAAAGAATCGCACTGCGCGAGGCGTTGCCACCTCCTCGACGCCAGTTGATGCAAGATACAGCTGTTGGCCACCCATTCGACAGTCTCCGTCTCATGGCGCGAATGCAGGGGGACAGGTTGCACATTGGAAACATAAAGTTCAGGGGCGCACCAACGACCCTAGCGGTACAAATGAATATGGATGTGTGTGGATACGCCATACTGGCCTGTTGTTTGAGAAATTTCGCGTACGCGTCGGTGGCGATGACGGTTGCAGGAGTTTCGGCTTCCAGGGTAGGGTGGGGATGCGAGCGGGGAATGACGAGAGAGCACGTGCCTGGCGTCTTCACGACAGGGCCCTGGACCATTACCATCGATATTCTATGCAGATATTGAACAGGATTCCACGGCTATCTCTTGCCAGCACTCATGGTTTTTGTTTTTAGTGACAACCGCTGGCTGCATCGGTGTGTGCGTCATGGTTGCTTTTCCTGAAGCACACTCCGCTCAGCAAAACAACATCCCCATTGGACAATGCCGCACAACGGGGGCTGTAGCACGGCCGAGTGCTCCTTGTTATCTGCCCATTCGGTTTCGAAAAGCAAAATATATTTCGTCTATCGGCACAACGGCAAGGCAAGACGTGTTAATGGATCCATGGATATCATGTGTGTTAATGTGTGTATTTGTTGTTGTAGCCGGACTGGTATTCCGAATGCAAGTAGCGTTTCTCGATAGACACCCGAAGAGCAGACCAGCGATGAGTTCGATGTTGCGAGATGTGTCGCCAACCGTATGTCACTGAATCACCCCTCCTTTACTGCGTATACCACCAAACCATTCCCCTCCTCACTTTATATGTCGTCGAACCATCCCTCCATCACTGAGTATACCATCGAATCATTGCCCTCCACTCATTACACCGCTGGATCATCACCCTTCCCCTCACGTCGATACACCGTATACACCTCCTCGTGAATGCCCATGTCCTTTTCCAGTCGGACCAATACCCCCCAGTAACAAGAGTGCTCAATGATCAAAAGTCCCTCCGAAAACATGCGCCCAAATGAATGAAAGAAAAAAACTATTCGTACTTACCATTCATATGCAGTGCAGTGCGTGCGTGACGGAATTCCAGAATGTAAAGAATCTGCGGCGCGAGAAACTCCTCCTCATGATCCTACTCTTCAACGCCCACCTTGACCTCGAAATGGTCATGTCTTTAAAGCCGTGCTGAGCCAGCCAATTGTCGGGGATTTCGGACTTGAACTCTGTTATCCAGGGTTCGGCCCTCTCCCTCCTGAAGATGATGTGTATGTATGGGTTTGGTACCACTGGGACACGGAACATCTGGACGTCTGGCGGGTAGATGCCATTCGCGGCGGGGATGGGAGTAGAGACCGCGAGGAGATCTTGAGGGATGGCACATTCTGGTGTTGAAACGTATCTCGTCGATGGAGCGCGATGGATACGGACTGAAGCAAGAGACCGGCAGCGCAGAAGCTCTTCCCAGTGCTCGTTCGTGTCTGAGCAAGTCTGGTCTCTCTGAACTTGACGGCCAAGGAGGCGGTAGCTGTAATACAGTCAGCACATATGTTCCTTGCAAAGGCCTGGTTAGGTTGAAAAGTGCATGCGACTTACAGATCCTTTGTCTCTACATCGCCGTGCCATTGGTAGCCATCCATTGCGTAGCCACTCGTCCCATAGCGACCGAACCCAACCTTCATTGAGAAGTCGTTTGCCCAAAACCTCAATCAGAGGTAGTACTTCGATGCCTTTTGGGCCACGTTCTTCTTTGGTGGCCGTATCGCCAACTGCGACCGTGACATGGCCGGCGAAAGACAGGGTCGACTCGCGTTCTCCTGAAGGACCAATCGTGGCAAGCTCTTTGTCGGCAGAGAGGTAGAAGGCCTTGACATAACGGGGTATGTTGGCCAGGTCAATGCCAATCTCCTGGTTGGTCAAGTAGAGAGGGCGAAACTCCCACCTGAGCTGTCGGCTCGCCTGCGTCAAGCCCCAGAATGAACGGTTGGTTTCTCGAGGAATGTTCTCGGAACCATTAGTGATGCTGCTGTCGCTTGACAGTCTTTCGTCGTGTTCCTGGGCGGTGATATCTGAGGCGAGGGTACGGCTTCGGTCAAGTCTGGTACGGGGGCGTAGAGAGGCGATGCGTGGCCGGTGAACGAGCACGAGTTGGGTCTTCTCGGCGTGCATGTACTCGTAAATTCTATTCCGGATCTCTGTGATTATTTAGCTTGAACTGACTTTCGCCGTTGGAATCAGTGGTGCTTACCTCCGGGGAGATCCAGGAACCGGGAGGATTTTGCACCTTCACGTTTTGCAACCTCAGTTGCCTCTGTCGTGTTTGTACCGGCTGTAGAAGCTTGGCGTTTTGTGCTTCTCTTGACTGACCGCTTCTGGATGCCGGCCGCAGCGGCGCGGCGAGAAGTCGAGGAAGGGTGAGGAGTCGAGGCAGAGCGAGTTGGTCTTCCCTTGTCAACAAGGTTCGCTTCATGCTTACCAGAGGTCCAATACCATACAAAAATATATGCAAAAACAACAAAAACACGAAAAAAAATCTAAATTAAAACAACAACAGGGAGCGGGGGGTACCTACGCCATGTTGATATGTGTCAGTTCTCTGCTGTAACTTGACAGGACGTGAATTGTGGTCTATAGTGTGGTGGAGAAGGGAGCTTGCTGCGCGAGTTGCGTCTGGACTAGATAGCTGGAATCTTCTTTTGTCTTGAAAGATTTGTTCAGTTTGATCAAAAGGCTTCCTTGGGACTATCAGCCTCCAATTGTGGGTAGCAAAAGGACGAGAACAGTGGGGCGAACGACGATATATATATATATACCCTTGGAGAGCCACGGACAAGTAAAGGTGAGCAAGAAATTTCTGCTGCAGGACAAAACGCCGGTGATAGTTAAAACTCGCAGTGATCAAGGGTCGAGGTGACTATGCGTTCACGGTGAGGTGAGCATTTCTCTTGGTGACTGGCAATGAGGTTGGTCTTTCATCAGCTTCATTGCGAACACTGAGTCCCGTACTGCTTAGGAAGAATTAGACCACCTTGTTTGGATTAATTTGTTCCATCAATAGCCAGAGTAGTAACTGTCAATCTCGAGAGGATCACAGCTATGCCATCATGACTGCTGTACCGCCAAGGATTTCGGTATGGAAGCAGCATCTTGAGGGATTTTAGCTAAAGCAAACGCAAAGGCCCACTCAGTGGAATGCAAACGCTCTACAAGGAGGGTAAAGTTAGTGCTGCATTGTTGTGGTAGATTTTTATGACGTACTTTACAAGTCACTGCTATTCCAGTCAGGCTCACGCAGCTTTGAGGACATTGCTTGTTGTTGTGGGGAAGGGGGAAGGAGGAAGAGGAAGAAATGCTAACCTTGAGCATGGAGGAAGGAGGGTAGTTTTGACGAGCAGACCCCTTAGGTAGCAAATATAAGTCTTATGTCAAAAAACGAGATTGGTTCCATACCTCAAAGGCCATTTTGTGTAGTGCTTAGTATCAGATTTGGTCAGACATCACTATTGCCACGTGGGTTGAGTTAGGGACCATGTACCAAAGAACAAAATTTCAGCTCATCAACTCATAAATTCATCTTCATCTCGTATCCCTGCCTTATGGCAGCACATATCCACCATCAATAATACAATCACTTCCCGTCATATAACTCGACGCATCGCTCGCCAGATACAAAAACAGACCCTTGATCTCCTTAACATTTCCCTGTCGTCCAAGAGGAATCATGCGCAGTCCCTCGTTAATAACCAGTGGACCCGCACCCATCTTCGTGTCGAAGAATCCCGGGCTAACAATGTTCACCCTCGCAAACTCCCTCCACTCGCGTGCAAGCGACTTGCCCAGATGCGATACAAAAGCTTTTGTGCCGTTGTAGATTGGCTGGTCAACGGGCACATTGACAATGTGGGCCGAGATACTTGATGTGAGGATGAGGTTGCCGAATCCTTGCTTCTTGAAGACCTCGCCGGCGTACTTGGCGCAGTAGACTGGCCCGTCGACGTTGACACGCATGAGGTTGTGGTAGGACTCTAGTGTTTGGTCGAGTAGTGGCTTGCTATCTCCTGTACCTGCATTTGCTACGAAGCAGTCGATGCGGCCAAAGTCCTCGACAACCTGCTTGACGGCTTTTTCTACGGCAGCGGCATCGGTCTGGTCGACGCTGTACGCTTTTGTCTTGACGCCGTGCTCTTTTGCTAGGGTCTCCGCACGCTCGATGGCTTTGCTGTTGGAATTGTACCATAGGGCTACGTTGCCTCCTGCTTCAGCCATGGCATCTGCGACGGCACCGCCAATGCCCTCAGCGGCTCCATTGACGACAATGGTCTTGCCCTTCATGCTGAATTGTTGCATCACATTGGCGGGCGTATCAGGCACCGGCTTGGGAAAGCCAGCACGTGGCGTTTGACATTCCTCCACTGACATAGACATGTTGGCGGTATTAATATGATATAAGGCTTAAGTGAGAAATAGGGCTGTCCGAAATGAGGTGCCTATGGGAGGGTGTTGAGTGCCGAGATATGCAGTTGACGTGCAAGCCTTTTATACGTTTCTCTGAAATCCGGAAGAAATACCATTTCCAACGAATACGACAGACCATACTTGCCCCACGACCCCAATGCTGGGTGTGTCTGCGTCACGGGTAGGTGTTGTGGGGCAGACCTGGAGGACTGTCGTCCGGGGACTCGTTCTCATACGGCCCGATCTCTATTCCAAGACTAGACTGCACCTCGGCTAACCTTCCTTTGCCACAGGCCCGGCTTACTGAAAACGATGCTGTTGTGCACTCTGGCACTACATCTATCTCCATCGAGGCGCATGAGAAATGGAGCTTCGGGCAAAATGCCGCTTGAATTAAAGGTCTAATGATTTATTATATGTACAAGAAGAGAAGATTTGACGCCTTCAAACACCTTTACTGTTCCTTGCTCTTCTCCTGGTGCAGTCCTCCGTTTTCGCCGTTCATACTCTCCCGTTCTGTCGTCTCTCCACTCTCAGCCACTTCTGATCCTTTGCTCTCTTCGTCTCTCTTTCTGTCTTGGACGATATCCGGCGCCGGTGCAAACTTGCTCTTGGCTCGGATCCTCTTTCCATACAAGTAAAAGAATATAGGCATGGGTACCAACACTGCGGCTACACATCCAAGTAGTGTGCTTGCCCACTCGATGCCCATGCCCTCAAACATGAAGGTAGCGAAAAGGGGAAATACGCCTCCAAACATGGAGCGCATAAACGTGTTTGCGGCAATGGCTGAAGCAGCGAACATGAGATAGGCGTCCACAATGTAGTTGAGCAAAGAGAGGAAGATAGAGAAGATTCCGAATCCGGTAAAGAGACCAGAAAGGACGGGAACAATCCAGTGGACATTACCAGTGTAACCTGACCAACCAAACCAGAAGAGGCCGGCTGTTGTGCGTTAGCAGGGGTCAACCGAAACCTTGTTAGACGAATACGTACCAGAAAAGAGGACGCCGCCGACCATGGCAATTGGTAAACGCCACTCTGGGACAGGAATATTGTTGTTTGCAGCCAGCTTCTTGGCGTATCGTGGGTTGTCACATACGACTACGATAAAAGCAATGATTTCACCAGCGACCATACCAAAGTACGCGAGGCCTCCGATGCCAGCACTCCAGCCATACACACGTTGGAAGACGAGAGCATAGGCAGTCAGGAAGAGGTAGAGCAGGCCATCTAGTAGAATTAGCATACCGTCCTGAAGCGAAGGACCACATTTCTTGGACTTACAGATAAAGCTCATGTAAATGGTGATGAGTAAGACGATGGGCTCTGTGAACAGGATGCGCATGGGCCTGCTGACGTTTTTAATAATCAACTCCTTAAAATCAACCTCAATCTCCTCTTGCTTTGCGTGTATACCCCAGTTCTTTGTTCGACGTCGGAGCTCGCTTGCCTTGTTGATGAGTATGACGGGTGGGTACGTCTCTTCCAAGAAGAACAACAGTAACGCAAACGCCAGGAATCCCATGAAACTCGAAACGTATTCGGTCCACCTCCATCCAAGGTAGCTTTGCGTAATGAAGCCACCGATAAACGGGGCAAGTAAAGGACCCATGAAAACCGTGGCAGAAAAGACGGCGACAGCTAGACCACGGAGCCGGTTGTCAAACATGTCGGCGAAGACAGCTGCGACAATGGCCAGTGGTGATGATCCAAAGAGACCGGCGAAAAAACGGGAAATCATAATGGTTTGGAGATCTTTGGCTACGGCGACAGCGATGCTGAAGATGGCGAATCCAAGGGCGGCGATGATGAGAGGAGGTTTTCGGCCGTATAGCTCGGAGAAAGGTGCCCACATCTGCAGGTTGTTAGTACGTTATGTCTCTGGTTGCGTGGCGTGGATATGTACATACCAAAGGTCCAAAGGCATATCCAAAGACGAACAAACTCGTACCCAGCGTGCCTACAACGTTTGCGACACCAAACTGGCGAGAGACGGGAATTGTTGCAGCTGAAAAGATGCTGGAGCCCATGGTGGCAGCGAGCGCATCAAAAGCCAGCATAGCACCGATTCCTAGCTTCTTCTTCATGGGCCAATTTTGCGGGTGTAGTGGGTCATCTACGCCATCAAACTCGACGACATATTCTTCCCTGTCGGGCAGAGGCGGAGGAAACGGCTTGCCAGCTCCAAGGTTGGGCAGGGGCTTCTCGGTGCGACGTCGTGTGAGGGTTCTGGACAAACGTGAATCGGATGGAGAGGCTCCAACGGTGCCTGCATGCTGGCTGCGATGTGTTTCTATGCGGCGGATGGCTTCAGGGTGACGTTCGGTAGGGTGCAGGGTGAGGTAGTTTGCGCTCGAGGTCTGCGAATTGACAGTCGGTCGGCGATCGCGTGCGGGCGTCGAATGTGCGGTACGGATTTCCTCGAGGCGGGCGCCATGTGTCGAGGCCGAGCTTGTAGAGCTCGTAGTCGAGGTAGAGGATGTGCTGTGGCGTGACAGAGGCGATGCGACTTCCTCTACTTCCTCTCTCACAGGTGTTGCTTCTTCCTCGCGTGGAGCTAGCGACTCGCTCGCTCTGCGCTCTCCACGCTCATGGGCTGCAATGTTGCGCTCACGCTCAGCAAGAGTCTGGTCGTGCATGTGGCGCTGGTGGTACTGCTCGCGAAACTGGCGATTGGGATCCCATGTTGAATAGACTTCTGGATTCGCATTGGCCTCGTTGCGCAGAACCTCGTAGTCTTCCTCCTGCATGGTGGTGGCACGCTTGTCTTTGGTCCAAATCTGGCAGCAGTTTTTGGTGGTGGTTGAGTGCAAGAAAGAAAACAATCTTGGGCAGCCCGAAACTAGCCACTCAATGCCGAAAGTTCGAGCCTGACGTCGGACGATCGTAGTGGAGCTGGTGGATCTTGCCTACTAGTACGCGACGGGAGGGCTATTTAGTCTTGTCGTATATCCGGGAGTTGGGCGCGGCTGGTGTCGCAGCTTGACGGCCCTATTGTTGCAGCCGGCCATTAAAAAGAGAGACACTCCATATACTCGAGCACATAGCCGTGGGCCCGATAGTGTCGTCGATCTAGCCATGACCATTGCTGTGTCACCACCCAAACGAGCAAAAAAAGTTTGGGTTCGAGTAGTTATGGAAGTGTGGCTGAGTAAGCCATAAGTGGCTGACCGAGCGCAGGCGGTGAGGCGCGGCCGAAGTTTATTGGTGGGCAGAACGGGCGCAACAGGAACAAATCTTTGCCGTGCACATACGTCACTCGACCAACATGCTCGGTAAGCCCCTCAACACCAAAGCACTGCCGTCACTGTGCATCAGCGCCTGGCATTGATTCGGCTCGCAGCCGGGGGAGTGATTACGCAGCATTCCGTCTTCTCTTTCGTACGTATGTACACAAGTACTGAGTACACGAGCCTTCTAACAACCGCCTAGCAGATCCGCAGGTCCTCGGAACACCCCTTGTGCAACATGGCCCAATCACAACGCCCCACCCGCCATTAATAACAGTGCCACACAGACCATGCCTTCAGTGAGCCCCTCTTATTTTATTCTGCGTCCACTCGGCCAAGCTAGGCACATACACATCACATACGTACTGCACTACCTACGCCTAGTCTTCAGTAATAAGGCCCCATTGACCTGGTGCAGCCAGATCAGCCAGATTGATAGCTATATAGGCAGCCAGTATAGCTATCATACTTCCATCTTCTTCTTTTATAGTACTAATCTTTATTATAAAAGTTTTAGTTTCGTAATTTTCAAGTTTGAATTTAGTGGTTATGAATTCCGACCTTTGGGGCGTAATCGTCACCCGTAGACAGGCCCAAAGTATTTAGCCAAGATCAAACGTCGTTGCTCCCTAATTGCAGAAGGCAGGGCACACCACCTCAGGTCGGCAGTGGCCCCTAAGCTCTTGCCACCTGTCGTGTATTGTCAGCTCCTTTGTCCTGCAAGCCCAACATTTTGCCCAAAGGATAAAGCATACTCTTTATCTCACTATCTCGTTATCAAGCCTTTGACTTTTCTAAAGTTCCCTCGCTCAGCAAAACGCTTACGCGATGAAGATCCTCCGATTGTTAACTCTATCTTACTCTTTCGCTATCGTCTCCGGGGGTGAATAGCAAGAATGTTTAGGCCAGATTTGGATGTTCCTGGCGTATCAGATCAATGGTCTTAACCGCCCCGCCTTCCAAACTATTGGATTTAGATGCTTGAGCTGGGATATAAGCAAAAGTAGCTGTGTAGGTGGCTGGCGTTCATGTACAATACCTCTAGTTTGATGCTCATTTGATGAGTGGCAGAGGTTTCTCGGTAGAGCACCAGTATACAACGGATGGGCTGCATACCAACCTAATGGTAGAAGACTGGATATTCAACAGACCGCCAAAATCTGTTACAACCGGTTCATCACAAATTCCCTCGCTAATGACCCTATGGTTAGGGGGGAATAGTCCGTATCTAAAACATTCGCCAGTGTCTTTCAACCCTTTAAAGAAGCTAAAGGAGTTGTCGCGATTAAGCTCTACCAGTCTCCAAGCTCAGTAAGCTTGAAATACAGATGTGGAAGGTGAAGGAATTAGAACTATGGCTGACCTCGAGCGGGCCGATACTTAGGAGGATAGGAAGAAGGTTTCGGTAGATTACATCTCCGAACATATAGATAAAAGCTACGTTCGAGCTCTCTTTGACCTAGACAGACAATTCATCACTTTTGTCTGCTAGTTACTTTATCCAAGCTTAGCTACTCCTCCACAGAAGGATAAAGAGAAGACAGATAAGGTTAAAGAAGAATAGTATATTACTACGTATTGTGAATGACTATAGGCAGAATTCTATTGAGTGGAACATGACTATCATGAGATGGAGCGTGATCTTTCCGGAGTCATAGCTTCGACAAACAAGACGGCATCAAGTAGAGTACACGGCTACCCACACATGTTAAGAACGTGTTCTTTTCCCTCTGTGCTACCATGATGCCTGCACGGCCGGAACTGTTACTATTGGCAGTTTTGGCATCGGGTTAGAAGAGCCTTCTCCGCATCCACTTCCCCTTTCCATCCGCTCAGGCGAAAACGAAACCTGTCACCGAGGTCCGCAGCCGGTTAACAATACTACATACTTGTATATGTAGTACTTTTCTTTTGCGCCCCGCAAGACTGTACTTTTGGCACTCGCACTCGGTCCACGCCGGGAAGGTTTCCGCTCGCCCCCGCGCTGCACGCCAGCCACCGATATCGATCGAATCCTTCAGTATGCGCAGATGGGGCGAGATGCATTGCCATCGTGTAGCAGTCGTCACCTCCGTCTTGGGATGCGACGCTACGCATACTACTTCCCGCTGACATCGTAGTGATAGCCAGAGCGGAGTCTCGCCGCCGCCGCCGCCGCCGCCGCCGCCTCTTATACGACAAAGCAAAGTCTTGTGATTTCGATTCACTGTGAACCTGCGACACGTGCTAGGGGTCAGCAATGCTGCTATTAAAAAAAAGCATACATTGTTTTTGCCCCGTAAACGGTTCCAGCAGCGGATGGCTACATCCGAAGCTTTGACGCATTTGCCCAGTTCATGTCGGCAGGCCGCTGTCAGCTGCACGCTAGTCAACGGCGCTCCGGCATGTTTCAGCAAAAGCAAACATGGACGCACAAGCCCATACCCTTTGCAAAAGTTCCTGCAGCACCAAGAGCCACACCTGACCCGACGATTCCAAGGCTTGCTTTGATGGCTGCCATCGAAACGTCATAAATTGTGTTATATATGTCAAAATGCTGGCCAGTCGACGCGTATTCTGCCTCTCCCGCTGGAATGCTAGCTATCCGGCCCTTCCAATCGTCTCACGTAGATGTGAACATCCTGGACTCTAACCTCTTTCTATACTCCAGATTGTGAAGAAGAAAAAAGGTCAGTCACCCATGTATGGGCCGCGTGCAACACGCGGCTTCTTCCGATGGCAATAGTGTACACTCAAAGACAAAACTATCCACCAGTGCATTTCAACCTGCATCACTCCGTTCGGCAGAGTGCAGACATACTGATCAGGAAGCAAATCAATCACATCAGTAATCGCATGAATTCAATATTACTAAACATTCGAAACATCCTTTGCAACACGGCCGTCACTTTGACTTCGCCTCCCGCCCTCCCCCCACTTTCCCAACCCACGCCTCTCGCTTGTCAAGCCCACTGCAGCTAGGCCCCCGTCACAACAAACGCTGGGACGCCTGGACGTCTAGACGTAATTAACGGCAGCTTCTTTTTACTTTTTCTTGCTTCAGGTTTGCAAACCCGGCAAAAGAATTCCTTTCGTGGCAATCGCTGCGCAGGTTGCATCAGTCGGACTCGTACCTCTCTACAGTGCATAATCATACATGTACTCCAGCCCGTTCATTTCCGCCACTCTACCCAAAGAGTTGCATTTTGTGGGCCACGAGCTGTCACTGTGGCATCTGTCTTGTGGGGGTTCCCGATCTGGATGCAGGTGCATACATATAGACCGGCGACCGGGGATAAGAGATCTGGTATATCTATGTCCCGCGAACGGTGCAGTGACGCTTCCGGTCTGTGCAGCCCATACGCCCGCAATGGTTCGACCAACAGTTGATTTCATTCAGCGCTTGGCACTACCTCGGGCAAATCGTCGACCAGAACCACACTGGCGGGAGCGTCCGACTTCCGCCCTCTGAATCCATATCAGCCCCGCTTGCGCCGCTGCCGGCTTCCAAATCCTGACGTTTAATGAGTCTTTCCAAATTGAAAAGCTCTCAAACACGGTGCACTGAATCAAGACCCTCATGGGGAGAGAAACATGTAGATGACAGAGGCTATTCCAGTGCCTTTGCGGGTTGAGAACCTACATCCGTTTACCCAAACCACAGTGGAAATCTACTGTGTAAAAAGCAATAATGCGTCAGCAACTTCGACAAATGAAGAAAATCACACCCGTTCATCTCCACTGTGGTCCTTGTTTTTTCACCGATCAATCGGTCGAGAAATCTCTTCGGCACGTTGAGCACATCCGTCTCGACGGGCATGTCAGAGGCCGGCGACAGATGGCATGCCCCTGTCGACTAGAAATTCTCATGCGAACCCGAGCCCTGAGCGATGTATAGCTTACATGGGATCTCCGCGTTACGGGCTAGCGTATGCAAGTGACTCCAAAGCTGGCAATTCTCTCAAGTACCGGTCATGCGGGATACTACCGTGGTGGATTATTCAATGGTCCTGTGCATTGGTTGGGCCCTTTATTTTCTTTTTTTGTAGTCTATCCACTTTTCCATAGCCCTAGTCAAGCTGTTACGACACCCCGTCCCTTACTTACTCAGAACGTCTTGGCTAGCCAAAGCCACGAGGCACATATGGAAGGCATGCCTTCACTGAAAAGAAAACGTCACTGACCTCTGCTACACCTCAAACATCTCAAACATAGCAGAGCATCTTTTCTTTCTTCCATAATGCCTGGTGGACTTCACCCTCCTCTGGAGGTCTCACAGAACTGGCCGGCCCCCAACTTTGTGAACCCAGAGCTGCGATCAGACGCTATCATCATACTGGCCTATATCCTGGGACCACTCAGTGTGTGCTTGTGTCTCGTCAGGCTATGGGTCAGGGTATACCACCAGAAGAGTGCAGGAGTGGACGATTGGCTGATGCTGGCATCTATAGTCGGTTCCATCCACCCTACGACTCTTCTATGCTGACAGTTGTAGCCACCTACAATTGCTTTGACAGCACTGTATCCCCTTGGTAAGTTGGATGTTCCCGTTAAAGAAAACCATCTAACACGTGTCAGCGACCAAGCAGGCTTTTGACAGACACATCTGGGATTTGGACATCTATTCCGAGCCACGGCGCGCGGTCATTGCTAGAAAATACGTTTTGGCTACCGAGACTATCTTTTGCGTCGCTACTGGGTTGGTCAAGGTGTCTATCCTTCTATTCTATCGCAGACTGTCATCTCGTGTGGTATCACGGGGGTTTTTCTGGACAACATGGATTGCGATTGTATACATTGTTGCCTACAGTATCGCCCTGACGATTGCTCCTATTGTCGGCTGCCAACCGATAGAGGCGTTTTGGGAGCAGTTTGACCCCATCAAAAAGCTACAAGGGTACGAGTTCCATTGCTTTGATGAAGGTGCCGACGTCCTCGCCGCCAGCATCATCTCGGCGACGCAAGATCTTCTCACTGCTATCCTACCTACATTTCTGTACTGGAACCTCCAGATTCCTCTACGACAGAAACTGGCATTGTTCGGCATCTTTGCCATGGGTTACGGCGTCGTTGCGCTGGGCGCGCTACGTGCGTACTACAGCTGGCACGCCTTTTATAACACATACGATATCACATGGGCCACGTACGACATTTTCCTCACCTCTCTCCTCGAGCTACACATTGGCTCCTTGTGCGCCAATGCGCCAGCCCTCAAAGTCTTCTTCAAGCATTTCTTCAAGGAGAAGCTCACGTCAAGATCACGAACCAAGACACCGGTCGACTCCAAAGACCGTGCTAGCCCAAACGGCTCATCGAGACCAAGCAAGTCTAGCTTATGGAGCAAGATAAGCTCGGTACTTGAGACCGGAAACGAAAGCGGGATGCGTAGTACAAGAGGATACCTTGACTCTCATGCCGGTATGACGGTAGACTCTCACGGCGGTGTACTTGTCCAAAAAGACATGCAGGTTCATCACTCACCAGCAAGTAGCGTACCTGAAAGTCCTGCTGAAAGACCTGTTTTATCGACGACCGATGACAACATTGTTGACCACTACTACGACGACATTGAACTTGGTCTCTACACCACACGCAATTCCGGTACATCAAGTGTATACTCGCCTAGGAGCTTTGACAATGCCGCTCTCACTGCTATTCCACCGCTCCCTACATCACCAGCATTTGCTGCTCATGAGCCTTTGACAGCACACCCCGTTTCTCCCACCGTCGCGGAACCTCCTAAGAGTCCGGTACTTCCCGTACCAGCAGTAGAAAAAGCGACATTTCAGCGGGCTCCCACACCACTCCCATCACGGACCCTAAGCCACCATCGACCAAGCTGGCAGACTTGGTAATGACGACGCATGCAGCGCATGCCCCATTCTACGAATACGTATCATGTCACTAGCGCACTATTATCCTCCTTCCTGTTCAAAACCTCATCTCTCACCGGGAGTTTTATGTCTACGAAACGCCGTCCATTGGGACTGGCCACCAGCACCGGTTGTTGTCACAATGTGTTCTCTCGGTTGTATCAATCTAGGCTGGCTCTTTGATTTTTCTCTCCCCATGGGGTGCCGCAGGTGGGCATTTGTTCCGTTTGGTTTTTTTTTTCCTTTATCATTTTTTCCCGTTCTATACCAAATGTCCTGTCTCGCTCCTTTGCTCCAAAAGCATTTGTTTGTTATGTAGTAATAATGAAAGTCATGTTATATCATTGAAGGGTCTTGTGTTATGATGCAGAATAACGCCGCTCTCTTCACAGTGAACTCTCTGGCCAAACGCAAAACAAGTGAGAGGGAACGCTTCTGACCATTTCAAAACAGGAAGGTGCGTATCTTGACAAGCCACGCCCTTTCAAAAGTCAAGTAACGACAATTTTTCCATCAAGAAGAGAAAGAGAAAAAAAAACTCTTCGATGACTCATAGTAGTACAAAACCCCGAACACATGCCTCTAACCCAAACCCTCCCTTCCATCCTTCCCCAATCTAAACCGTCACCGCATCACCAACCATGCCCTCAACCACTCCATCCCTCTCCCAACCAACCCTCTACACCTCCTCCCTCATAAAATCCACCCCCACCCTCTCCGCCGCCCTAACCTCCCTCATAAACTCGGCCTTTTACCGCTCAGCATCCTCAGACCCGCGCTGGGACGCTACAGTCCCGCGCTTCGACTCTGCAGACGAGCTATGCGAGATGATAGGAGATGAGCGGAGTGTGGTCGCTGTTATATACTATTCTTCTGGTCGCTCGACTAGTACGCTTGATGATTTTGAAGGGAAAGAGGAGCAAGGGGAAATGGTAGCTTGTGCGGCGGCTATACCCTGGAAGGGTGGTTGGCGCCGCGAAGGGGCTACTGCTACGGAAGGTGGTTGGGAGATTAAAACGGTGTGTGTGCATGAGAGGTTTGTTGGGCGTGGGCTTGCGAGTCGGTTGGTGGGGTTTCTGGGCTACTACTACCTGTGTACTACGCGTGCTTCTGGTACGGTGGAAGAAAGGGAGCAAAGAAAGGTGACGCTCTGGCTCCTCGTCGCCGACAATCTCAACGGCGCGTACTGGCGGCGCCGCGGCTGGAGCGAAGTCAGGCGCAGGACCGAAGGACCGGGGGTGTGGGGGTGTAAGGGGGATTTTGACATGGTTGTTTTGAAGAGGGAGTTATGTGGCCCAGTAGTATAGAATGTTTTTTTTTGGTAGGTCATGGTTACTCGAGAATAGAAGTGTAGTAGTAGTATCTGACTCGCGACTACTACAGGTAATATGGAGAGAATACGCAAACTACAAGTTCCCCGTGCCTAGTAGATCTTCTCCCATCGCGCCATCCCGTCTCCCCCAAACCCCTCGATCACGCAAATAAGCAAAAGCCAACCACCAAGTCTCGCCCTTCCCCAGGGCTCTCTCTCTCTGCCGCCATGACCCACACGTTTCCAACCCGCCACGTTCCACATCGCCACGTGATATCGGCCGATCAATCGCGATCGTATTTCTTACTTTTACACTATGTGCAGATTGTGGCGGCTGTGGTTTGTATCAGCCTCTTCTGGGCCGAGACGGCTGCCGGGGAGGATTCGTGGGAAGATCAGTGGCGCGGGGGATGTGAGGGGAAAAAAGGAAAAAGGGAAAAGGAGGTGGACGGGTGGGGGGGGAAAGAAGAAGGAAAAAAGAAGCGGGAGAGAAAAAAGATAGAAAAGGAAAATAGAAAAGAGATGAACCGAGGTAAAGATTGTCAAAATCTCCAGATAGACTAGATAAGAAAAGAAAACACCCAGTGAATCGGAAAAAATACTACTTTCAAGATTGATTCTATGACGATGATAGGTAACACGCCACACTCACAACGCCTTCCCCTCAGGCGTACACCCCCAATCCCTCTCAAACGCATGCCACCCGCCTACGGGCTCCTCACACATCTTAAGATCACTAATCACAAAATCATAATACCCCTCAGCAGGCAACTTGCCCTGGTTAACCGTACCTCCCATAGCAATATTAATCAAAATCCTAAAATCCTCCATACGCCGCGTTCCCTCGGGTATACTCCCCTTCATGACCGGTCTGCCATCAATATACCAAATCATACGGCCTCTCCAACCAGGAATGCCTTCCTCTTCGATCCACGCGAAGCCGTAGGTATGCGGTTGGCGGGCGAGATCAGGTAGCGAGGTCTTGACGACACGGTGTTTCTGGGCGTCTTCGCCCGTGTAGGAGCCCCAGTGGAGACAGGAGTGGTTTTCTGTTTCGGCGTTCCAGCTCTCGGCGATGTCGATTTCGCCGTCCGTGGGCCATTTGAAGGGGTCGGCAGGGAGCATCCAGTAGGCGGGCCAGATGCCGGGGGCGGAGGGGGGAAGACAGGTTGCGGAGAGGTAGCCGCGCGGTCGGGAGAGGGTTTGGTGAGAGGTTAGGCGGGCAGAGGTCCATTTGTCGGGGCCGACCAGGGCGCGCACGATTAAGCGGTTGTCGTGGTGGAAAGAGTTTTCGGGACTGTCGGTATACATTTGCTTCTCATTGTTACCCCAGCCGTGGTCTCCGATCTCGTGGCGGAAGTTTTGTGACACGGGGGTGGACTTGTCGAAGGATGGCCTCCAGTATACTTTCTCGGTGTATGGTGGAGGAATATTCTGTGGCGGTGGCGGTTGCGCAGATGGAGGGCGGTTCTGAGGTATAGGTGGAGGACTGCTAGGTTGTGGTGTGTGCGGCTTACTTCCCTGTGGGATAGGTGGTGGTGCAAAGGGTTGTTGCTGCGGAGGCGGCGAACCCCACTGCTGTTGTTGAGGGGCATTCCATTGCTGTTGCTGCGGAGGCGCACCCCATTGTTGGTTTTGCGGCGGATACTGTGGAGGGTACTGAGCGCCAGAGTACTGGCCCGGGTTTGGCGGCGGATAGCCCTGTTGAGCTTGAGGGTAGCCTTGAGGCGGTGGATAACCTTGCTGATGTTGTTGGCCTGGATAGCCCTGGCCCGGATAGCCTTGCTGGTGATGGCCGCCAGACGATGGACCCGTAAACTCGGAGAGCTTTGCCTTGCCCTTGGCTAGGAGTTTGTCAAACGCGCCCGACATTTTCAATTCGATGTAGTACGTTGGAGGATGGTAAGCTGTACAACAACTTTCTGCCGGAAGCCGAGCCGCTATGACGCAAGCACGTCACCCCACGTTGCCCCACCAGCCGACGTACCCGCACACGATAGTAACCTACATGTTATTCACGTATCTTGGGTTGCCCTGCCCCAATTCGAGACCAGTGATACAAGGAGCCAGATGATGTTACGTCTTCATGCGTCGACCACCCGTCTTCTGTTCAATGACCAGCAAGACTCATCCTTAGTTCAGTCTTTACGTTGCTCCATGACTACTAGCGCAAAGGTATACCGTTCATATTTAAATGTCATCAGCAAGATCCATGCTGTGCGACCTCTGCTGCAGAAATCTGATCCCAAGACACAAAGCAAAGATTCCAATGAGGACAATAGTGATAACAAGAACTAAATCGTCTATTCGTCTATTCAAAACAACATGAAAATAAAATCGTCTCGCCAAGTCTCCCTCGCCAAACGACGAAGAAGGGCAAAGCACCCAAGTAGAATATATATACAACTACAAAATACTATTATCAGCACAAGTAAACGCCCCGTTGACCTTTGTCGTCGCAAACGTATTCATCAACGCATCAATACTAGCATACATGCCAGGTCCTACCATAAACAGCGTCACGCACATGATGAAGATGTTGAAAACGGCAGTTGCAATCTTCTTGCCGCTGGAGCGCCACTTGCCGTTCTTGTTGAGGTCGAACCAGAAGAGGACGGTGACACCCCAGGTAAACCAAGAGAGAAGCAAAGCGGCGGAGATATTGAGGAGGGAGCTGAAGACCGGGATCGCATTGGCGAGGATCCAGACGGTGATCCAGAAGAGGGATACGGAGAAGACCCAGATGAACCAATCAGTCTTCTTGCCGACGTCTGTGATGGCAATGGGATTGCGGCGGCGGTTGGAGGTGTTGTCGTTGGAGGTGATATCGACAATGGTGCCTGTTTTGTTTTGCTTGGATTGGCGAGTGCTGACTTGGCGGACAAAGTAAATGTGGAGGTAGCGTGCTGCTGTCATACCTGAGGATATATGTCAGTACGAAACACAATGTGGTTTCCGAGATGTTTCTTACCAAAAATAAGACCAGTGCCCAAGAGCCCCACGAAGATAACTCCATACGAGGCTTTAGCCAGGGTGGGACGAAGCGAGCCGAGTGCGGGCGATGCGACTTGCTCTCCGGATAGTGCGTACACAACTGCAGCAACAATGACGTAAATGGTAGTTGTCGCACACTTCTCGATAATGATAGCCTTGGGGTAATCGCGGGAGGGGTTCTCCATCTCCGCCAAGACTGTCGGGAATGCCTGGTTACCGCTAAAAGCAAATGCAATGTTGAGGAATGCAGAAACAGCTTGTGTAAAAGTCGGGCTACCGATGGCTTTGAGATTGAGCGCCGCTTCCGGGTTCCGTGGGCCTTGGACACCCAGAATGACCATGACCATGAGGACGGCGGCGAAGATAGAGAATGTGCAAGGCCACGAGGCCCATGATACAAAGCGCATGCTTCGAGGTACACACATGGCCCACATGACGACAGCCGCGACAACTGTGAAGGCAACCGTGCAGGTTGCGTGCTCGCTAATCGTGTTGAGACCGATGGAGATGGTGACGACAGCCGACGCGCTGATGAGCGCCATGTTGATGAGAAAGCCAATGGCAAACACAGCTTCGACCCAGGGCCCACCAAGGACGCGCCCATAGTCAACAATGTTCAGCATGTAAGGATATTTTCGCCAGTATTGAATCAGGTTGTAAGCAGTATACAGACTGAGCATACCCATACCAATAATGGCCACGATACCTGGGAAGAAACCAAGCGTGTTGAGTGCACTGGGTAATGACAGAATGCCAATTCCAATTTCGTTTGTCATGAAGATGATGACGGTTTGGGTCGTGTTCAGCTTCTTGGCTGGAGTATTGTTGGGAGAGATGCTGGCATTTCGGATATCTGCGACGTCGCCTAGGTTTGTGTCGTTTTGAGATGATGCGGAATCGAACTTTTCAGAGTCTGCTATGGTCTTATGTCGCAAAGGGTCTTCCGGATCGTGGGTCGGGTCTGCTGCAAGGGTGACTGTGGGTCGCTGGGCGGATATCGGGGGAGCATCAGTAGCTTTGGGCTTGTCGTCGACATCATGTGTTTGTTGCTTAGGAAGGTTGCCATGGGCAGACGCAAGAGGTTTCCCGTCCATGATTCAAGATGCAATCAAGCACTTACGCCTGCGTATACAGAGTTGGAGGAATGGGTCTAGTGAAAAGAAGTATGAAGGAATTGGCAAAGATTGAGGTTGAATTGATGACGTTGAAAAGATGTGAAGATGCGAAGAAGTTATGAATACAAGTAAAGAGCGAGATTAAAGGGTACGGCACAGTGTGGAGAGACCCAAAGACTTGGTGAATTACGTACTACCAAGGACGGTAGCTTGTCGTAGCGCGTCGCGGAAAGGTTGCATCCCTAATCGGGACTGTGCGCCAATGGCCAGATAGTGAAAATAACAGGGTCTTTCTCACGCGTGGAGACTGGTGGTCCGTATATCCACTTAGGGCATGTGGGTCTCCCCAGAAGCCGTGCAAACGAAGCTTTTAGTAAGAGAACAGGTGCTTAGCATCGTGATTCGCAAGGTCAAATCGACCCGCACCTATTCGAAACACAGCACAACAATCCCATGCAGTCGACCCCATGGTCAAGAGACGTGGTGGTGCGGAGAAAGGGTCCCAGTGACGTCTGACGTTGATCTTCTTCGGGAGTGACCGCACTAGCGAGAGCCGCACACCATGATGCGCGCCGAAGCAGGCCGGCCTTGGTTCCCGAGGTTGGCCGTCGTCATGGTTTGGCTGGGCAAGAGCAGTACGCTGGTTGGTCGCCTTACAGGTTCAGTCTCATGCCAGAACGACATGCAAGACTCGAGACCGCGTACGAGAGGAGATGGCTTCGGGAATGCCAGGGGCACCAACAACTTCCGGTGCGCTATTTTCTTCCAGAAGATGAAGCGAAGATGGGTCTGACAAGGACATATCCGATACTTGGGTGTTGCATTGGCCTTGAAGGCAAATTTTTACGCGATCAAACATTGGCGCAGGACAAAGGTGCATGTCTACCCAGTCAGAAGTGAGGCGTCTGAGTGCCAAGGACTTGTTAGTGAGGACTGGAAAGAGACAAACAGCGACCGCTGGCCTTAGGGTGGCCTCGCACCCGGTAACAGCCAACGTAGTGGGTGCCAAACGTGGTACTTTTGCGGGCACGCCGAGATTCTTTCCAGAGCTTGTTAACGGTGCTAGGCGAGGCAACGGCGCTGTATCAACAGGCATTGGTTTCTCCGTTTGGGATACCCCTCAAAATACCCGGATCTTGATGGAGAAGCCCAGCGGCAGTCGCGTGAGGGAGATATGGATCCACATTCGGAACAAAAGAATAGAGAGCTCTGGGTCCAAAGAAGCAACCCCTTATCGCTCTGGGGCAGGCACATTCAGGGACGTGTAGTACACGCTGTCTGCATCGTTAGCAAAGCGTGCGAATGAGCGTCCTAGGTATCAGTGTTGAGGTATCGCATAGGACGTATGTAGCATTTCTGTGGCGGGGTGGCATCCTGTCTCACAACTCCAATGGCTCTCGAGTGGCAACCGCAGGACATCAACCGAGATGAAAGGCCCTTTTTCCAAAACTAGAACCTATCAAGAGAGACGATCGCTGAAGAAGATGTATGCTGGATATCGAGATAGGAGCTGGCTAGCTTGGGGGGGGGGGGAGGAGTGTGGATGACAATTTCCTTGATAGCAATGGATGTGCAAGACGGCAGAGGAGAGAAGGTTACGCGTTCACGTGAGTCAAGCGCCAAGACCCAGACTGCCGATTTCCCGACATCGCATGGGCGAAGCGCGCAGTCAAAGCCACACAAAGCCGGGCGCCATGGACAGATTGTACACAGTAAGCAGCGCCTATGCACGAGAGGGGCCGAATTGCCAGTTAAAGGCCTGCGTGTACCGGATTTGCTGAGCAGAGCAATGCGATTGTAGGCGCAGGCGTGGCTAGGGCCTCCTGGCTTGCGTCACTCCTCTCGCACCCGTTGTTCCGGATGGGAGACGCCAAGCCGCGTGGGCCCCCAATCGTCGTCATCGCCATCTCCCACTGGTAGACGGCAGACAGCAGACAACAGGCAGGAGGCAAGGCAGGCTGTCAAGGAGCAGCAAAGCTCGGCTACTCTCTGCTTGGCATATCAAAGCCCTCCCCCAGACTGACCACACGCGAAAAGACGAAACAGAGGCGAGCTGGAACCCGTCTCCACCCTCTCTTTCCTCCCTCCCGTCACCCGCTGCCGTTGTCCGCTCCGTCTTTTTTCCCATCGTTTGGATCGAGCGCGTATTGTTGATCGACTCAGCCTGTGGCCCCCATTTCTTTTTTTGCGCTCTGTCCGTCGTCAATATCGTCTTACCATCCGCCATTTGCGCTGTTGCTCCCCAGTCGCTCTTTACTCCTCTCCACATACACCCACAATGATACCCCGGACTGCCCTATCGGCGCTTCTCTACGCAAGCACCGCCTTCGCTGTGTGTACCAAGCTCGAAGACTGCCCCCAGTTTGAGTCTCTCAAGACGGACGAATGCCAGACCTTCCACCACTTCCTCGCACGCGGCTCTACCTCTCCTTACCCGGGCCACGTCATCGAGACGGTCGGCAAGGTCTGCAATGCTCTCAACACCAAGGAGAACCCAAAGGCCTGCGGCTATGAAGATGTCCAGTACTGGGCCATGAACGGTGGAGAGAAGTGGTGCATATCGTCGCACGAGGGTGCCATGAACGGCGCCGAGCAGATGAGAAACTACACCCAGAGGTGTCCAGACAGCCACCTGATTGTCATGGGTTTTAGTCAGGGGGGTAGTGTCATGCTCGATGTCCTTGGTGGCGGTGGTGGTCCTCTCTGGGGGTGCGAACAAAAGTCGAATCCGAGCATGAACATCACCAGTCCTCCGGGCTCAAAGAGTATGTATCGCCTGTACGATCTGCATCTGCTCCGTATGCTAATTCCTTTCCAGTCGCAGCTGCACTCGTCTTTGGCCCCACACGGCGCTCCGCGAACCAGTCTTACACCCACGGCGGCGGCGAAATCTCAGATGGCAGTGCTCCTCGATCAGCGGAAGAGCTTGCAGGCCTCCAGCCCTATGCCGATGCCGGTATCCTTCGCGAATACTGCCAGCCAGGCGATCCCATCTGCGCTCCTCACACCGATAATAAGGACATGTCCAAGCACTTGAGCTATTTCGAACTCTATAGCGACGAGGCAGCCGAATGGGTCATTGATCTCGCTAGGAAGGCCGAGTCTGGCGACCGGACATCGGATGCGAAGAGCATGCTGCACCAGACCATTTCGCATCCCATTGCAAATGTCTTCATCGTTATCTTCGTGCTGTTCCTCGTATAGTAAGTCAATCTCTCACTCAGTCACGATTATACCATAGATGCGCAATAGACATTTGGGACCATTGAAGACTTGATTTTTCGCCGATACATGCATGAATACTCATACTGCACAGTTTTGCCGTCAGGAAATTCGCTGTCTGGAAGACAACTCGCTCTCCTATATATTCACGTGTCGACACTACCGAATCTGTCTAAGCAAATACGAGCCGCATACCCGAGTCTTTGCGACAAGCATTATGCATACTTGGCAATTTAGATTGTGGCGCCCTGCACTGCCCACCTTGCCGGGATAGGTGGGCGAAGCGCCAGCTGCACCATGGATCAAGGAAAAAATAGATTCACAGCAAGGTAATTGGAAGAAGAAGGAAAGAATAATCAAGGGGGAAAATTGGGGGGCACACGCAAAAGCTTCATATTTTGCTGTAATTTGCTCAGCGCCTAGATACCCTTCACTGTAGCATACTGTATTCTCTTAGCATACTTTATTACCAGCCGACTGGATTCGGCCAACCAAGATATTGAATTTTGTTATGGGATCGTGTTCTGTCAGTTGGAAGCAATATGTGGAAGCATGCATTGCAATATCTATCAAATGTTGGGTTCAGTATCTCCAGCCCACTTCGCACTACGACCTGATGTGGTGATAGCGCCTTGGCATAAATGCTCACTACTCATACGCTCTGCATACTGTGTGCTGATAGGTCAATGCAATGTGACTGCGCCCGTATAGTTCTTTGCTTCTTTTTGGATGATATTGAGATGATCATGCAGAGAGGAGGGATGTGGAAGGAAAGGAAAGGAGAGGATAAGAGGGGCATGGGTACATGAATAAGGCCAAAAGTTTATCATGACTTGCTTCTGGTACGACCAAGTATCTGGTATCACGTTTGTTGTGCTGCATGATTTACTTTTAACTCTATATCGCTTTACTCCGCGATCACTATGGTTCGATCACCCCGCTTCTTGTTACACTAATTTACCCTCGCAAAGCCCGTCGTGGGGAAAAGCAAGAATCTGGAGGCAATTCTTGAAAGGTTGTCTCTAAGTTTGTTCAGAGCAACAAAGCATTGGGGTACGGGGAAGATCAGCTCATGCACGAAACAGGCTTTCAATGTTTATCTCGCGTTGAGGTGTGGAAGCGATAGATTGGGATTGGCTGGGGTTCTGGGGATATACGAGTGAACCGTTCCAACTGACATGAACTGGTTGCAGGTCGCGAGACTAACAGTGCCGAAGCGAGACTTTGTTTCCCGCTAACAGAAGCTTACAGTTCCCTCAGTTATCGCCGCTTATCGCCCATGGCCAATATGCTCTGGATCTAAAGAGACCCATGGTTTCAACAGCCATACGATACTAGTCGTAGTAGTAGGGGGTTAGGCACTAGCATCGGGATTTCCCACGTGCTGACCATGGGGGAAGACAATTGTCATCCTCTAGTCCCGTATGAAGAGCACGATCATCGTGTTCAATTTACAAATCGCCGGATCTAAACGGCGTCAACACGAGATGCAAGAGCACAAAGACACGGATTGGGAGTGCATGCATGGGCATCAACCTCGAGAATGACGTAAATTGGGGTCCAAAAGGTCAGTAAAGGCACAGTTGATTGCCGGAAGCGTGCAGGCAATCTCAGTATACGAGTCATGGGTGAATGAATAGGCATGGTTCGGTACTAGCAGAGAGGGGGAAAGCCTTTGCGTTCACGATGGAGCGACAACTTTATGCATAGTTTGCAAAGAGTGGCGCGGAGAAGGAGTCGGTCGGAAATTTCTTTAGCCCGCATGCATGCACCCTGGGAAGGGCGCTAGCTGAATGCTCCGCTCGCTGCTAGTAAGCCCAATGGCGCTGGAATGGACTCGTGGAGGCCCTTCTCCTGAGCAGCAGCATTTTGCATGCAGCAACCATGTATACAAGACATGGTATTGTATGCCTTGTTGCCTCAGTGCATATATGGGTTTGAAGAATGCAACACAGCTGACACGACGTCTTCGTGCACGCAAAGTATCACGTCACATGTCGATAAGATAAAGCATCACGGGTGGAGATGATAGTATGGTTGATCAGGGGTAAAGCACGGACGCTGCCCCAGTCACCCTTGCATAATAGCATGCACATCTACAACTTCATTTGCCCATTCCGTTTCATAAACAATTCAAATGGCTTAGTCCGCGATCCTCTAGGTGCAAGAGGCGTGCACATAATAGCTAGCAAGGGCCCCGGATTCCATAGCCGCGGTTTTTCTAGCTTTCACTCAAGTCGCCCGCCCACCTCCTACTATTCAATCATCCCTACGCTTCCACGCGTCGGAGGGAGAGCAGTCATGGCCTTTGTCGCTGCCTTGTCCGATTTCTTTAGTTGCGGTAGGACGAGAAAGGCGCGCGAGCCTCCATTGGACCCCAACGACACAGCCTCGGAGCCTGTCACGCATGAAACTGCTACACCTACACTTGCGCTCCCACCCATTGACGAAAAAACAACTTTGGATGTCCATGTTCGCGAACCAGCCGACAAAGCAGGAGAGGCTGGTCGCATTCCCAGCATCCAACAGCCAGATGTCCGACCAACGTCTAACAGCCGGCACCGCAACTCGGCAGATGATAACATGGACATGTTTGTAGTGCAAGAGAAGGCCAAACCAAGCGCTGGATGGGTTGTTGAGCAACAAATCCTCGTCACCGCCATGCCCGCTGCTGTCACGGAAGAAGCAGAGAAGACCGCGTCCGTGCCTGAACCGGAACCAGAGTTTGAGACCACTACCATCACCCCACCTGTTCGCTGTGCGACTCCTGAGCAGGAGCCTTGGAACTCTACACCAGTCGCTCGCTCAGCAACACCTGAGCTTGCGCCTGAACCTGTGCCTGAGCCAGAGGTCTCCATCGTGACCCCCACCGTCCGACCAGTAACACCTGAGCCGGAAACCGCGGATATTGTGTCCGTCCGTAGTGCGACGCCCGAGATCGAGGCCGTCGCTCCCCAACTCGCCATTCCTGAACCGGAGGAATTCTCACTCCCGGCATTTGAGGAACTGGTGCCATCTATCCCGGAACCCGAAATTGTGGTCCGGC